GTGTGTGTACGTGTGTGTGTGTATGAGGCATTTCTACACTGGGACTGTATTTGTGTGTGTGTACATATGTGTGTGTGTGTGTGTGTGTGTGTGTGTGTGTGTGTGAGGCATTTCTACACTGGGACTGGATTTGCATCATTTCTCCCTCTCACCCACTCCCTCGTTCTGCTTTTATAAGACACACAGCATGCCCGTGTGTATTTCCATATTCTGACCAAGATTGGGAAGAAGGGTGTGGAGGCATGGAGTGGGGAAGCCTGGAGCCAGTTCCCTCCTTCGCCTGGAGTGGGTGGGGTGGGTGGAGTGGGCGGCACTCTTGATTGCAGCGTGTATCTACAATTCTTTCATGTTGATGCTGTGTGTGGACTCCGGGGCATGAGACAGAGGTGACTGGTCAGGAAGTAGAGTCAGGTTCCAAGCAGGCGGAGAGACAGAGCAGGTGGACACTTGCAGTCTGTGCTGTGGATGCCTGTGATTTTTAATTCTTACCCACTTGGGATAGGACATTTCAAATCTGGAACATGCTGGAAGCCATCTGAAAGTTGGCCACTATCTTCATTTCTTTCTCTATTGCTGTGATAAAATGCCCTGAAAAGGGACAGGAGAAGTGGCTCGGCAGTTCCAAACACTCGTTGCTCTTTCAGAGGACCCAGGTTTGGTTCCCGGCATCCACACAGTGACTCACAACCATTGACAGCTTCAATTCCAGGGGATCCGACGCTCTCCTCTGACCCACATGAACACGTCCACGCAGGCAAAGCATTTGTACACATAAAAACAAGTAAATCTAAGGATTTTAAAATACCCCGACAAAAGCAACTTAGGGGAGAAACACTTTATTCTGGTTCAAAGAAGAGTCAAGCATGGCAGTAGGTCACGACTGCAGCGGGTGCTCAGCCTTCCCAACGCTGCCGCCCTGTGATGCAGGTCCTCGTGCTGTGGGGACCCCAACCACAAGATGATTTTCATTGCCACTTCATAGCTGTAATTTTGCTACTGTTATGAATCACAGTGCAAACGCCTGAGCTCTCTGATGGTCTGACGCGCCCCCTGGGAAGGGTAGGAACCACCACTGTGTATCACGTCCCCAGTCAGGAAGTAGGAAGTGACAAACGCAGGTGTGCCTTGTGACTCCCTTTCTCCACAGTCCAGGAGCCCTGGCAAGGAATGGCTGTCACTCACAGCCGCGCTCACAGCCACGTATCTTCCAGCTCAGCTGACACAATCAAGATAATCCTCACAGGTGGGCGTGGTGGCACACACCTTCAACCCAGCACTCAAGAGGCAGAGGCAGGGGGATCTCTGTGAGTTTGAGACCAGCCTGGTCTATAGAGGGAATTCCAGGACAGACAGGGATACATAGAGAGACCTTGTCTTAAAAAAACAAAACAAAAAGATAATTCTCATAGGTATGCCCAGAGGCCTGTCACACGGGTGATTCTAGGTGTGCCCAGAGGCCTGTCACACGGGTGATTCTAGGTGTGCCCAGAGGCCTGTCACACAGGTGATTCTAGGTGTGCCCAGAGGCCTGTCACATAGGTGATTCCAGACACTGTCAAGCTGTCAGATAACATCAAAGGTAGTACCATAGGAATCATGGGCCCACACATTTTAGACCTTGAGGTAGCATCGAGGTGCCCAGGCCCTGAGGTCCATGCCCCACCCCTCCACCTTCTTCTCTAGCCCTCTCTTTTCCATCTGAGACAAGACTGGGGCCACTGGGAACCACTGTCTCCACAGCAGGGTGGCAGGGGAGTCCCAGCATTCCTTTGGCACCCAGCCTTTGTGGGCACAGGGATTCACTGTCGTGGTGGAGAGAGCGTGGCAATCAATTCACAGATAGAATGAGTACTCTTCAGGTGGCTGGTTGGCAGGAAAGCAACAGCTTGGCTATTGATTAATTAGGTCTGGTTAGATGGCACGAGGCAAGTGTAGGAGCCAGAAAAGGAAGCCTCTGAAGTTCCCAAGTGATCTCAGGTTCTAGGGCTTCCCCATTCCATGGCCCCTGCCTCCTTCTGTGACCAGCTGACAAAGTGACAGCAAATCACCTCCCAAGGGGGTATTGAGGGCATGAGGTCCCCCAAGCCCAGGCTGAAGCACTGAGCAAGCTGGACATGATCCTGGCCCGTGGAGCTCACGCTGCAGGGTCAGTGCTGCTATCAGCGGAGGGAACACAGCGGAACTAAATGTCAAGCAACCGGGATCCGAGTCCAGATTCGTGTAAAGTCAACATGCCTCACACAGATTTCTCTGGTGAGGCACTGGCCTCACGGACTCCTGCGTTCTCACCCTAGCTCTGATATCATCCCTCAAATGCTGAAGGATTATGCATCACAAGGCAATGTTCTGCCTCGTCTTCAGGCCGCCAGTTCTTTGTTTCACTGGTGGCTCCTCGCTCAGAAGTTACAACTCCAAGGAGGGCCCAGATGGCTGGGAGGGCAGATTCAGAGGCACCTGGCAGGGTCCCAGGGAATAAAATGTTAATACAAAGGAGCACAAGAGGTGTGCAGGGCTATGACAGAAAGATCTCACAGGTGTCAAAGAGTGAAATCCAGCCACCAGCACCCTGGGGTTCTGCCTCCCTGCAGCCCCGTCCCCAGGGCCCCATTCCTGGAAGGCTGGAAGGAGACAGGAGCTATTTTCTCCTGCGTGTGGGGGAGCTCAGGTGCACAGTCTGGGCAGGAGAGGCTGACTTTAAACTACAGGGAATCTGGGCCAAAAGCTGCATTGGAGGAGGAATGAGATCATCCAGGCTCCTGTGGAGCAGGGACACACAGCCTGTCCCAGCAGCCTGAGCCTCACCCTGAATTTCCAGGGGAGTTTTATAAGATAAGACCCACCACGAACCTGGGTAGTGGTGGTGCATGCATTGAATCCCAGCACTCAGGAGGCAGAAGCAGAGGCAGGTGGATCTCTATGAGCTCGAGGCCAGCCTGATCTACAGAGAATATTCCAGGACAGTCAAGGATTCATAGGGAAACCCTGTCTCAGGGGGGAAAAAAAGGAAGGAAGGAAGGAAGGAAGGAAGGAAGGAAGGAAGGAAGGAAG